AATAGGATGGCTGTGTTAAGGAAATAATAGAATAATCCAGTGTTGGAAGAGTGGCACTTATTGTTTTGTTTCGATGTTCTGGTGAGTCAGCGTTACAATTTTACAATTTTAGATGTTTGCCGTTCCTCTAAAATCCGGCGTATGGAATCCTTTAGTGGATTTTGCATAGTTTTGTCAATTGGAAGGAATGAATCCTAGACAAGTCTTTGAAATAATGAAATATTCATGTTCATGTTCATTATTGAAATAATTAGGCAATTATTTATTTATAATAATTAGGCAATTATTTGAAATATTAGGCAATTTCAGTTTACAATAATGTCCACTTTTAAGCACTTACGTACGTTAAACTTCATGCGTTATCGAATTAAGTTTGCGTGTTGCTTCGCGTTTTCGCCTCTCCATTGCAACATCGAAGCTCAAATACTCATTGGTTATCCAGTTTACTGCTTTTTCTTCATACACAGCTGGGAGAACATTTTTTGATTCGAAGCTTATTTAATCGTTCATACTTCATTAAAAGATTTGGTTATAGGTTCCAGAGTAAAAAATATTTTTCAAAGCTTATTAACGAAAAAGTTTGGAGTCTTCTCCCGTCATGATGGAACAGCCTGCGAGGATATATTTGAAAGGGAATGTCTGGAATAGAAATACTGGATGTTAAATGAAAGACACATAAAATGGGCTTCGACTGATCAACAAAAAATCCGTTATCAAAACTTCCTTGACAGAGTTTGAAGTAATTCTCTTTAATACTTTTCTATCTGATCTTCATTCACACTGGCGAATCGTATCAAAAGCTTTTTTCAGCTTGGTAATATATTTATATAACCCTCTTTTGATGTTCCCTTGTTGCTTTTATATTGATATTTATTTTAGACACTCACATCTCAAGGCCATATTTAACCGAAACTTTTATTTTTTTCCAGGCCGAATCTCCGGTGGTTTACCGCGGCTCTGTTTACATGATAATTGAGGTTTGCGGAAGCCCTGCGTATACGTATTAAGGGCCGCAAGCCCACCCATGCCTGTGAATAACCAACACTTCCTTGTTTAATTGTTTGCAAAGGCCAAAGAATGGGGAGAACGTACGCAATATCATAAATAGTTGCCAGTTCTTCTCTCCGGCAGCCGTACACTGACGGATTTCCAAACTGAAACCGTCAATCACAGACGAGAAATTGGCCGCTACGTGTACTCAGGCTGCTACGTATGCTTAGGACGCTGCGTATTCATGAGCAAGTTTGAAAGTCCCGCCCTTGGCCTGTCACTGAATTGAGTTCGAGTGCTTCAATGAGTTCAGGTGTATGATCTCGTATAAAGTGCACTCTTCATTCCGTGAATTAACAGGGTTTTAAAACACAAATGTTTCTAGCTCAACTGCGCTCTTATACTCCTATATTTTTCTCTTCCTTTTCTACTCAAGTTATTTAAAGTGACTACGAGACAACAGTGTTTTTCAGAATGTTAAATTAACCAATGGGAGATAAGATTAATCCTCAAATTCCGTCAATCAATAACAATTCCGTCATAAAGTTTCACACAAACACGGAGCCCAGGTATGGCTGCCTGATATTGTAACTAATCCTTTTGAACGAGGGTATTTTCCTTGCACATTTTCTCGCATCATTGCATTGTTCATTTCTTCCCCATGTGAGACGAAATATGTATTTACAAATTTTAGAAGAGACATGACGCTGTATTTTATGTGGTTAAACTAAAAATATTCAATGAAATACGTCTGTAAACGTATAAATGATTTGAACCTAATGCTAACGCGACAAAAAGGCTTTGAAATTTCTCATTATCAGTTCCGAAGAAAAACTATTTAATTTAGAAGTTTTGCAATATTATATTTGATTGGGGACATTGAAATTATACCTTCAAGTACCGAAATTTCCTTTAGTTAATGGAGCGATCATTAGTATATTCTTAACCATGAACCAGAACTCATGTTGCAGTCATCCAGCTCCTTTGTGTTCTCAGTCAGTCCATCACTTATCAAATTTATCGACAGCTGCTAGCGTCTTCTATAATCTTTGATGAATGGGAATAATCAGCACAACATATAATCGGATGACGATGGTCTCAAGTGCGCAGAAGTGAAAAGGTCCTTGTAAACAAAAGGTTACATACTACAGCGAAAAAAAGGTTACATGTAACAAAAGGTTGCATGCAACAAGAGGCAACATGCAACAAAAGGTTACACGCTAAGGCGAAAAAAGGTTACATGTAACAAAAGGTTGTGTGTAACAAGAGGCTACATGTTACAAGAGGTTACATGCAACAAAAGGTTACATGTAACAAAAGGTTACATGGAGTAAAAGGTTACGAGTGCAGGATTTTATCTAGCACGGGAACAAACCTCGAAATTTTTTATATATTTCCAAAATGTATTCTTTTACCTTCATTCAAAAACTATTTTATGCATAAAAATCAAATAATCTGTAAAAAAATGGTGGAAGTTCCTCACATACGCGATTGACAACAACGTGTAAGAGACCTTAAAATAAGTAACATTCCTCAAACATTCTCACGAGTTAGAGAACAAAGTGACGTGTAAAAGAACACTCCCGCGAGTGACAAAGACTCTTACATTGCTCTTCCTAACAAGTAAGATTTGTACTTAAACATGAAATGTATGGCAGAAAAATACATGCATGCCATGCCGTCCACCGAGAGGCTTTGCCAGATTTACAGGAAAAGTCTAGTTTTTTATGAGCCCCAACTTTCGCTTTCGTTGGGTTGCCGACGCATTTATTCTTATCAATTTATTGTCGTCATAGCAAACACTCCTTGGCAGGAATTTCAGTGGCGACCGTATGGCACGCGGTCGGCCATCGAAATCTTGGACCAGACGCTGGACACGAGATTATTTTTAGTATTAATGTGCACTTTGTTGAGTGGGACATAAATTCCAGAGTAGTCCTTATTTGGGATAGAAAATTATTCCTCTCCGAAGAGCCGCTTAATGTTGCCATTCAATATCTTCCTGAGTTGAAATGACTTGAAAGAAGACGTCTGAACTCTTCGTTTCTATATCGGGGCTACGCATTTGATGTCATTAAACGGCATTTACTAATAAATAATCCAAAAATCATTGTCAGTCGCTCTCATTATGCCTACAAGTTCGTTTATCCCGATGAAATTAGTTCGCTTTGAAGACAGTAGTAACATATTCAAGTAGACATTCAACAAAAGGCATCAAAGAAATCCAATTATAGGAGCAAGGTTCGTTGAAGTTTCTGTTGGTGAACTGCTGTTCAGAACAAAGGCTCTCCCATTTACTGAAACCTAATCAGCAAGAGCCTTTGATTCAGATTCAGCACATTATTTTAGCTGACGCGAGTGATTCTAAATGCAAACATTTCATCGAGTTTAAAAGAAATTTTTTAGATATAATTTATAAAAAATGTGTGTTAAGTTTTTCTAGAATAGAACGATAAATTTATCTCATTTCGATGACTGACTGCTTCGGAGAATTATGTCCAATAATATCTCGCCTGCTTCTTGGCAGTGAGACTTGGAGAGGACATTTATTAAAAAAATATAACTCAGTACTCACTGCAGTGAGTGACAAAGAGCGCATTTTCTCGTCGACGAAAACATTAAGTCACGGACGGACAGACGGACGGACAGACGGACATGGCGAGCACAATAGTGCATTTTTTCATAAATGAGAAAATGCCCTAAAAAGATGTCCGTTGATGTACTTGATCTACGGACTTAGAATTTTGCAGTTTATAGAGATGAGGAATTTGCTAGATTATTGACGGAAATTTTCAATTAAAAACACGGACACTTATATTTAACACCTACAGAAAACAGACGTAAATTGCATATAGTGAAATGTTATAAAATGCATTACATTGAACCAAGTTTATTTGACATGGAAAATGAATGCAACTGAACATGTAAGTGCACTTGTGATACGTTATTAACCTTTATCTTATCTCTATATTGTGCTCCAAGCCAAATCAAACTTGGAAAATTCGTCAATTAAAGGGTTTCATATGTTAATTGATGTCATTTCTCATAATCTGTATTTTTGAACTCGTTTATTCGATTTAATTCTTTAAGCCGAAACAACCACTTGCAATTCTGAATCAGTAATTCTCCGGTATAATTTCCTCCCTGTTTACCATAGTTGAGCATAACTCGTGTAATTAATTATCCACTATTTTAATTTACATAACACATTCTTTTCCTCTCATACATTGCACATCAAAACCTACGTTGTCAGATTTCTTTTTCAGGCACGTAATAGTCTATAGATAACTGAATGTATTATCGTTACAACAATCTAACGTTTAATGTTGCTTACCGGCCTGTGACTAGCTGAGTAATCGACATTTCGACATTTCATTGGAAATAAACTCTTTGTTCTTACTCTTTCCAGCCTCCTCAATCTTCCTCTTCGAAATATTATAAGATCAATCGGAAAAGATTTTATTTTATGCTTTTAGCTACGACAAGATTTCAAGTTACTGCATGATTGCGGACAAAAACTTTGACACACATCGTACACACGTAGTAAAACGAAGGTATTGATTTTATTTATAATTGGCTGTATCGATAAATACTTGAATTATGATATGATTACGTGCATTTGAGGGAGCCGATTAATCCGGAACGAAACGCTACCGGACAGCAAAACACCGACAGGTAACGTGACTTTGATACGTCATATACGAAACGCAGTTCATCATTATTAATGAATTTATCTTTAATGTTAAACCTTTGTTCCTTTTGCTTAACATCAGATTAATTAGAGCTATATTCACCAGGGAGCTCTATTCACTTGGTTAGAGTAATTACTCTACCCAAGCACTAATTTGGAAATTCGATTATACCGAAACTTCAAAAATTTTACCACAACCGAACGAAACTGGGCGACCACACGGCGAGGTCGCTGTAGCGGGTGCGAGCCGCGCTTGCTTCGCCACGCCTTCGGTGAAAGCATAAATATAAGAGGGCAGCGGGCACCACGCGTCCAAGTCAATTGTGTGCTAGTGGTGCAGCGGTGACAACACGGACATCAGCGCCCCGACATGTTTACGCAGGTATGGCAGCGTGACATGTTTACGCAGGTATGGCGGCGTGACATGTTTACGCAGGTATGGCGGCGTGACATGTATACGCAGGTATGGTGGCGTGACATGTTTACGCAGGTATGGTGGCGTGACATGTTTACGCAGGTATGGCAGCGTGACATGTTTACGATTACGCAGGCATGGCGGCGTGACATGTTTACGCAGGTATGGCAGCGTGACAAGTTTACGCAGGTATGGCAACGTGACATGTTTACGCAGGTATGGCGGCGTGACATGCTTACCATATATTTTAACGAGATCTGCATGACATCAAATTTTTTAAGAATATGTCAACTCTGGCACATGAGAATTAATTATTTATTATTAACAAATTCAGCCTATTTATTTACTCGTTTGGCGTCTTGAAGTTTTCGGTAACCGCACCGGTTGCTAATGGCAATGCATTGCGGGCAATAAGGTCATGAATTAATTGGTGTAATTTTTATTATGGGAAATTAAACTCCTCATTTATTTGAGGTATTGAGATAAGTAATTTCACTGGAAGATTTCTATTCTTGTTAGAGTGTCGGGATTGCCACTCTTTAATGAAATTGTTCGAAATTTCGAAATACGCGTATGAGTTACTATAGGATTACTGAGATAAATAAATATATTTCACGTGACCACACTCCCGACAGCCACACAGTAAAATCCGCACACCAACCGTGGGCTCCTTATGTGCCTATCTAATTTTTTCTCTCAATATCTTGGTGGAGAAAGGAAGCAGACTCGAGACAGACTGTAAAAACAACAGTGTTGCATCACCCACCCGGCGAACCTAGTTTTCCGGAAACATTGTGGCATCGCGGGTGTCACTTTACATCCATTATTTCATCTAGAATCCGCATGGTGTCGAGTTAGCCATTGTTAGCGATGAATCTATTTCAATGGATTAATGCTTGTAATTATGTAAACAAACATTTGTGTATCCATAGCACCCACATTCTGAATCATAGCACTAAGCTGGAGCTGCCGAGTCCGAATTAATCTTAGATCAAATGAATTTTGCAGTAGTGCAGATATTCAGGCGTGCATAAAATTGCCATTGAAATATTCCATTTATAGAGGTTGCTGGAGCATCTTCCTTATTAGTGGTGATGGGAAATCTGATACAAAGAAAAAACAAACAAGAACCTTAAAAATGAACGCGTGTGTTTCTACATCGAATCTCTTACCCAGAGAAGTGTTTCCTAAATTAGCAAGACATCTAAGGAAATATTCCAGGAGATCAAATAACAAAGTGTAGGAATTTGTTACCACTTGAAACATTCATAATCAGCATACTGATAAGAAATACGGAAATTATTTTTGTTGATATGTTGATAGAAAATAAAAACAAATTTAAGTGCGGCAATTACCGCTCTTCTACGGAGGGTCAAAGGGAGTTATTTTCATCATTATCTTTAGGGGAATCTTATCACAGCGTATCATCAAATGATTTTGAATGGACGCTCTCATTTCTTGAACTTACCGGGCTAATTTATAACTTTTAAGTTCGTCGCATTCACAAGTCAAGGAGGATTAAGAATACATCATTCTAAGTTGAAGAATGTTTTTAATTTCGATCTAAACACTTAGTTTTATGGTATTATTTCCGTTAATGATCCTTGTTTGAAAAATTTGTTGAACTGAGCATAAAGAGCAATCTTTGTGAGATTGAAAAGTTAAAAACAAATAACAGCCATTTAGGATTTGTTCAGGTTTGTTGATCGGTTTTAGTTTTAATTTTATATTTAAGAAACCACGAATACATCTCTAATGCACCAATTTACTCGGTCCCGTAAACAAAATATATAACTTTGTACTCACTGCAGTGAGTGACAGAGAGCGCATTTTCTCGTCTACGAAAACGTGGAGTCACGGACAGACAGACAGACAGACAGACAGACGGACAGACGGACGGGCGGACATGGAGAGCACATTGGTGCCTTTTTTCCATAAATGAGAAAATTCGCTAAAAAGGGCTATGATCATGGCTATACTCACTATTCGCAATGAATCAACTTTCGGGCACATTCCAAGCATTCCTCATGTTTGAGACTTGGCAATAAATCCACCCTCGTATTTACAGTTAGTTAATCATGAACAACAATCATTCTACCAGAGTCACCATATCATGCATCGTCTCTACAGTCGAACAACCTGCACTTTACCTGAGTCACCATAACATGCGTCGTCTCTACAGTCGAACAACCTGCACTCTACCTGAGTCACCATAACATGCGTCGTCTCTACAGTCGAACAACCTGCACTCTACCTGAGTCACCATAACATGCATCGTCTCTACAGTCGAACAACCTGCACTCTACCCGAGTCACCATAACATGCATCGTCTCTACAGTCGAACAACCTGCACTCTACCTGAGTCACCATAACATGCGTCGTCTCTACAGTCGAACAACCTGCACTCTACCTGAGTCACCATAACATGCATCGTCCCTACATTCGAACAACCTGCACTCTACCTGAGTCACCATAACATGCGTCGTCTCTACAGTCGAACAACCTGCACTCTACCTAGTCACCATAACATGCGTCGTCTCTACAGTCGAACAACCTGCACTCTACCTAGTCACCATAACATGCGTCGTCTCTACAGTCGAACACCATACACTCTACCTAGTCACCATAACATGCTTCGTCTCTACAGTCGAACAACCTGCACTCTACCTGAGTCACCATAACATGCGTCGTCTCTACAGTCGAACAACCTGCACTCTACCTGATTCACCACTTACTTCACCAAAACAGGCAGGATCGCAGTGAGAGCTTGTCGTATCGGGAACAGGGTCAATTCACAGCCCATTTTTTCGCCCGTTATATTTTAAAGCCTCAAATGTCAGTTGCCGGGGCGTGGGCTCCGTCTGCTCAAAGCGCTCAAAAAAACCATGCTCATCACCGACGCTCACATCATCAGCTCTCGTGCCTCGGCAGTGTGCCGCGATAATGCATCGCTTATGAGTTTTATTGGATCGTTGATGGGTTCTATTGAATTATTTTGAGTTTTACAGGATAGCTGATGTGTTCTTTTGGATCGGTAATACGTTCTATTGAGTCGTTGATGGGTTCTACCTGGTGTGAATAATTTTGAATGGTGTTAATAATATAAAATATGTGTATAAATGTTTAATTTAACACAATCGAAAAATATACGTCAGATACGTTATGGGCTGTTGTGCATTTCTGTCGCGACGACGAGTCCTAATTTTAAAATTCATTTACTAAGCAAATTCAAAGAAATTAATTTGAGTTTCATGCAGTTAGCCAACGCGTTTTTTCTTGTTCATTATTTTGTGTTTTTTTGCGAAATATGACGTATAATTTCACTAAAAAACGGTCAAATCAATCAGTTATTATACTTGCGTTCATTAAATCTTCAATGGCTACGTGCTTGATAATAAAAAAGAAGTGCATTTCTGAATGCTAAACGAAAGTTAATTTGAAAGCTCACCATGCAACGAGGAGCGGTTACTCAACATGAACTCAAATGTTCTCACCCAGTTTGGCATGAAAGATGATTAGCCCTTTGGTAAAATATACATCTTGGAGCTTTCAAAAATAAAATTCTCTGCAAATATTCTTCTGGAGTTCAAATGGAGTTCATGTTGACTGGAGTTCAAATGAAGTTCGTGTTGACGTTATGTCCTAGCATTTAACCCAACGTTCACAGAACAACAGGAAATAACAGTCATCGGAAAAAAGCCATCAGCCATTACTCGATCGGACCTATTAGCATATAACTAATACATATTACTTCTCTAAGCCAATTTTTAGATTAAGTCAGTCAATTAATTGTGCTTACTGCAAAGACAACAAAACCTAAAATGCCCGATTAAATGCAACGATAAATGGCAGAGAAACGAACTACTCAGAAGAAGTGGTTTAAAATCATTGTTTCAATTCATACCGGAAATTAATAACGTTCCTAATTTTCTTGAAATCAGCAAATGGTTTCATCAAAAAATTTTTCTTGTGGTCTTCTCGCTCTCACACGCAGGCTCCGTTTTCAGGGTCAACTGTCAGATGAATGCCGAGCTGTTGTCATGTTCAAGGTTATCTGAGAACCCGCGGCAAAGTCGCTAAAAAGGAGAAACTAAGCGTCTGTTTTTCGACTTACGTGCCATCACAAGTTCGTGCCTTTGACCTAAAACAAATTAATCTCATAGGCCAATTTGGAAATGAGGGCACTTTATTGAGGCTCTATTGAGGCTCCACTGCCAGGTGCAACGGAGTCATGGTGCTGCGCCATTACTGCATTTATACCATCCCGAAATTTGGGGTAACTGTATTATATTGCATTATATTATATATTTAAATACTTGATACGATCATAAACTCTTCATATAATAAGTCAACTTTTGACATTCTCTGACGCTACATTTGCAGGTTTCGAACGATTATGCGCAAAATATACCAGGTTCATATTTTTCTGCATCAGTTGAACTATTCTTGGATTAAGGACAACTAGTGAGAGCATATTGTTTTAATGTAATTTATTTTTTGGGGGGGCTGACAAGTTGTCACAAAAGGTTTGAGTGAGTTACAAAAGAAAGCCCTAACCTTATTTACTATTTAGGTATGGTGATAGGAATCGTCTTTAGTCTCAGAAGGCGCGCTGGTCTTACCTTTCTTTATCTTGTGGAGGTGTAGTGGTTATAGCTTTTCTTACATCAAGGAGAAATAATGTTTATAACCGTTTCTACGTTTAGGAAGTGCAAAAGTTACAATCTTCTTTACGTTAAGGAAGTGCAAAAGTTACAACCTTCTTTACGTCAAGGAAGTGCAACGGTTGAATTCCCCTTATTTACGTTTTGGGAGCACGTACGATGGTTCGTGGTTGAGCAGACTATCGGCTGATTTGCTGTCATTAGATCACAATGTCCACAGGTCATATTTTAATTTTGCAGGATTTTAATTCTGCAGGAAATATTTTAATCATATTCACGTATATGCCTGAATCTTGCTTTGCA